ACCCACATCCACCGCCCCCTCAATCACCCACATCCACCCACATTCACCCACATCCCACCCATACATCCACCCGCCCCCTCAACCACCCACATCCACCCCCGCCCCCTCAACCACCCATACATCCACCCACATCCACCCCGCCCCCTCAATCACCACATCCACCCCCTCAACCACCCAACATCCACCCACATCCATCACATCCACCCATACATCCACATCCACCCACATCCACTCATTCACCCATACATCCACCATCCACCCCACATCCACTCATCCACCCATACATCCACCCACATCCACGCACCATCCACCCACATCCACCCATACATCCACCACCCGCCCCCCTCAAACCACCCATACATCCACCCACATCCACCCCCCGCCCCCCTCAACCACCCCACACCACCCATACATCCACCCAAATCCACCACATCCACATCCACCCACATCCATACATCCACCCACACCCACCCACATCCACCACATCCACCCCGCCCCCCTCAACCACCCACATCCACTCATCCACCCACACCACCCCGCCCCCACATCCACCCACATCCACTCAACCACCCACATCCACCCATACATCCACCCACATCCACCCACATCCACCACACCCACCCATACATCCACCCACATCCACCCCCTCAACCACTCACATCCACCCATACATCCACCCACACACCAATCCACCCACATCCACCCACATCCACTCACATCCACCCCGCCCCCTCAACCGCACGCAGTCTCACGCACTTGACTTATTAGGCAATGCGTCGACCTCAATCCGATCTCCTTTTCTTCAGCTACTTGACTCTATTCGGATTCCTTATCTGATAAGAAAGGAAGAGTAAACAAGCCGACCTAATTAGACCAACAGACAGGCTTGACACACAGACAGGCTGACACACAGACGGGTGACACACAGACAGGCTGGCCAACAGACGGGCTGACACACCAGACAGGCTGAAACACAGGACGGGGCTTGACACACAGACAGGCTTGACAGACAGCTGACACACAGACACACAGACAGGCTGGCTGACACACAGACACACACAGAGACACACACAGAGGCTGGCACACAGACAGGCTGACACACCAGACAGGTTGACACACAGACAGGCTGGACACACAGACAGGCTGACAACACAGACAGGCTGACACACAGACAGGCTTGACACACAGACAGGCTGACACACAGACAGGCTGACACAGCAGGCTGACACACAGACAGGCTGACACACAGACAGGTGACACACAGACAGGACAGGCCACACAGACAGGCTGACACACAGACGGGATGACACACACATGCACACAGACAGGCTGACCACACAGACAGGCTGACACACAGGACAGGCTGACACACAGACACAGACAGGCTGACACACAGACAGGCTGACACACAGAACAGGCTGACACACAGACAGGCTGACACACAGACACAGACAGGCTGACACACAGACAGGACTGACACACAGACAGGCTGGCACACATCCACAAGACAGGCTGCACACAGACAGGCTGGCCACACAGACAGGCTGACACACAGACAGGCCGACACACAGACAGGCTGGCGACACAACAGGCTGACACACAGACAGGCTGACACAGGCTGACACACAGACAGGCTGACGCACAGACAGGCTGACACACAGACACAGCACAGGCTGACACACAGACAGGCTGACACAACAGACAGGAAGACAACACAGACAGGCTGGCGCACAGACAGGCCTGCAACACAGACAGGCTGGCACACAGAGCACAGACCACACAGACAGGCTGGCGCACAGACAGCTAGGCTGACAGACACACAGACAGGCTGACAGGCACACACAGACAGGCTGACACACAGACAGGCTGGACACAGCAGACAGGCTGACACACAGACAGGCTGACACAAGACAGGCTGACAACACAGACAGGCTGACACACAGACAGGCTGACACACAGACAGGGTGACCACAGACAGGGTGACACACAGACAGGCTGACCAGACAGGGTGACACACTGAGACAGGCTGACACACAGAGACAGGACTGGCACACAGACAGGCTGACACACAGACAGGCTGACACACAGACAGGCTGGCACACAGACAGGCTGACACACAGACAGGCTGACACACAGACAAGACAGGCACACACAGACAAGCTGCACACAGACAGGCTGGCAGCACAGACGGGCTGACACACAAACGGGCTGACACACAGACAGGGTGACACACAGACAGGCTGACACACAAACAGGTTGACAACACAAACAGGTTGACACACAGACAGGCCGACACAGACAGGCTGACACACAGACAGGCTGACACACAGACAGGCTGACACACAGACAGGCTGACACACAGACAGATGCTGATAATTTTTTAAGACTTGGATGTTGTAAGTTTGTGGAGTATGGTGGAGAGAGCCATTTTTTTTTTTTATTGTCGTGGTTGTTCATGCAATGATTATTGTCACTATCATTATTATTTTTTCTTATTATTTTTATTATTATTATCATCGTTAGATAAATAGACAGAGAGATAGGTAGATAGATAGATTGAAAGAGAGAGAGAGATAGGTGGATGGATATATAGATAGATAGAGAGAGAAAGAGATAGATAGATAGAGGAGAGAGAGAGAGAGAGAGAGAGAGAGAGAGAGAGAGAAGAGAGAGAGAGAGAGAGAGAAAGAGAGAGAGAGAGAGAGAGAGAGAGAGACAGACAGACAGACAGACAGACAGACAGACAGACAGACAGATAGAGAGAGAGAGAGTGAGAGAGAGAGAGAGTCAGAAATGGATATGAGGCAGAGAGAGACAGAAATAGAGGCAGAGAGAGACAGAAATAGAGGCAGAGAAAACAGAAATAGAGGCAGAGAGAGACAGAAATAGAAGCGCAGAGAGAGAACAGAAATAGAAGGAGAGAGAGAGAGCGAGAGAGAAAGAGATAGGAAAAGATATATATATATATATTATATATTATATAGA